AGCTAGATTGCACCACATCGATGATAGGAAATCACTGATTGGGGTCCACGCTGGCTAGCACCAGTTAGATCCAAGAACAAAGACCCGCAGATCCGATCGGCGTGTGCGAGAGGCGTTTCCATTCGACTCGTCGTCCTCGTCGTCGCTGTCGTTGTCGCAGTAGCAGCTACCCCCTGTCCCTGTCCGTGGGCCCTCCCCGTCCAACGCCCCAACCAGACATCGAGCACGCAGCAATCGAGCGGATTGGAAGCCCCTTCCCTTCGATCCCCTACCCGCGGGGGAAGGGGGGGGGGGGGTCCGCGGCATTGTGACCCTCGGCCTCCCGAGGAGGAGGAGGAGGAGGAGGAGGAGGAGGAGGAGGAGGAGGAGGAGGAGGAGGAGGAGGAGGGGTGGCGAAGCACCTCCCTTGGGAGAAGCTCTCCCCTCCCCGCCGAATTGCACCCCAGACGACTCGGGCTCCGCCTCCGGGGACCGCGGCACGGGGCGCGAGGCCCTCTCGACATGTGCGCGGCAAGGTCGTTACCCCGGGGGAGGGGGTTTGAGTAAGTCGGGCATGTCCCTCTACAGGAGGAGTATTCAAAAATAGTCAACAAATAGTATGGGGACGCTTTTTCATTTTCTCCCACAATTCCGCCCGTAGGGGGACATGCCCGACCTAAGGGTTGGGGGCCCGGGCAACCTGTGAGAGCGCAACGCGTGGGCGGGGTCGGGCGCGTCGTGGCGGGGGTGCGCTGCTGCGATTGCCATAAGATGCGCGCGAGCACAACATGTAGGAAGTCTCCCCCTCCCCCCCCCCGCGCGTGCGATCGTTACCGTTTCGGGGGGGGGGGGAGGCGGGGGGGTTGGGCCCGGGTAGCGACCCTTCCGCGCCAGAGGAGAAACCAATCTCCAAAGAACCCGGCCCCTGTCCTGTCCTCCGGGACGTGCGCGACAACCGCTGCGAGGCCGCGGGGTGTTGGCACCCCGGCGAGCTCCCACAGCCCCAACTCGCTGTGCCCTCGCACCTCCTCCCCGCACGGGGAGTGCAGGAAGACGCAGGGCGAAGCGGGCAGCGTTTCAAGAGAGGTCCGCTCAAGAGTGTCTGCTTGTTGAGAGTCGACTCGTCATGCAACGGGCTTAATTTTTGAGGACGTCTCTGTGCTTGAGCAGGCACGTTCAAGAGTGTCTTCTCGAGGCGGGTCCTGACAGAATCGGGTCCTGGACCCCAGGTCCCCCCCCCGGGGACCAACTTCTCCTCCTCCCGAGTCGGGGATCTGCTGACCCGGGTCAATCCAGACTCGGGTCAGTCGGGCATTGCAGGATCCTGCAGGACCCTGCACCCAAGCACGGGTGAATGCGACCCAGGCCCTGCAAGATCCTGCAAGATCCTGCACCCAAACCCGGGTCAATGCGACCCTGAACTCCAGGATCCTGCAGGATCCGGCACTCTGGTTGACCCCCATTTGCATGGAACCCCCGTCTTTTGAGCCCCGACCGAGCCGCGTCTTGACGCCCCCCCGAAGCCCTGGGAGGGCCCCACGGAGCCCGAGAACGGTGCACAGCCTCAGTACCTCTCCTAGGTCTTAGGTCGGGCGTGTCCTCCCACATGCGGATTTTGGACGAAACATGAAAAAAAACAAAAACATACTCAAGAGTCAGAACATACTCAAGAATCGTCCCCAGATTATTTTCAAACATTATTTTTGAAAATTCCCCCTGCAGAGGGACAGGCCCGACGGAATCCTGGGCCGCCCACCTCTGCGCGCCCTCGGTGCGTGCCGCGCGGTCGCCACCGCGCCACCCTCGGGCCTTCTCGCTTCCCCGCGCCCGCGCCTGGAGCAGGGTGCCCCTCTCCAGCCCAGGCCGCCCTATGCGCGCCGCGCGATGTTCTTCGCGCCCCTGGGGGAGATCTACAGTCGATTTGACCAAGGGCACTCCTCCTCCCCCTCCACCCCATTTTACCCCTCCTCCTCTTCCTCCTCCTCCTCCTCCTATCCCTCCTCCTCCTCGTCCTCCTCGTCGCCGAGGGGACACAAGACCCTTCCGAGGGCCATATTGCCACAGGAATGCAGGATGCACGGGTCGCCAACACACGGGACGCAATAGCACCCTTGATTTGGCAGGGTCAGCCTACCAATCCGCCTCGACTGTACTATTAGATACCGGCTCCTTCAGGACCCGCTTGCTCCCATGCTCGGGCAGGGACAGGCCCACCGACCCAATCTAACCCCGGTCCCAATCTGTAACCAGCCTCGAACTGATCCCTATCCCTGAGATGGGCAAGTCAAAAGCGATGCCTATCTTAGGGATAGGCCATCAGAAATTGAGGGGATCCTAAAAATCGGCATCGAAGCAAGAGGATACCAAACATAAGGATCGGGCTCTGTTTCAAACTGGTAAATCTGGGAGGCCTGGACGGTGGCCCTGCCACATCCCGTGCGCCCCCTCGGAGCCCTCCCGCAACACCTGCAGCATCGGCGGTATCACGAGAGGCACCGCAGCACGTCGCGTGCTTCCCACCCCTGGCATTAAGTCGGGCATGTCCTTCTACAGGATAACTATTCTTAAAAGATAATCGAAAAAGTCGGGGCGATTTTCTGTGTATGTTTGATCATTTTGGGCATGCTTGAATTATCTTCAATTCGTCTCCGTAAATTCGCCTGTAAGGGGGCACGCCTGACTTAAACCTGGCGTCGTGGCCGTGGCGATGAAAGATCCAGCCCCGGCCGCGCACGCTCCGACAACCCCCCCCCCGCAGAGGAACTTTTCACAATTGCAGGAGGGCCCCTGCGGCGAGGACAGCCGGCAGAGGGGAGGGGCCGAGACGCAAACGCAGACGCACACGCGCGAGTCCGCCGGCTGGCGGGCCGGAGCCAGGTCACAGGCATGTGAACTTCAAGGAGTCGCTCTCGAGGTCCGCCCATAATTTGGAAGTTGTAGCACTCTGTAGCCATGTGCTCGGTGTGCTTCCAACCAAAGCCTTTTGCAAAAATTTTGTGATGTCGTCACTCCACGGCTTTCGCTGTCCGCCGTGTCGGCGTCGTGCTGCCCGGGAGACAAGGATATCAGGTTCCCATGCCGCCGTGGTGCGGTTGCGTAGCAACTCGCCCAGCCAATCTCCATTTACGCTTCTGAAATATTGTAACCCATTCCTACACATGCGCGCGCGTCGCAAAGTCTGAGGCGGTCTGGGTAGCCCCTGCGAATGAAATTGCCCCAGGATTCAAGGTCGGATTCGTCGTCGACGTCGTCGAAGTCTAGTTGCTGTCTGACGCTGGACTTGCTGTCGCCACTTGTGCTGTCGTCATGCTGTTTAGTGTCGGGGTTGGTTGTGTTTTCGTTGGTGCTGGCGTGGGGTTATCTCTGTCGGCGTCTCGAGGTATTGACAATGAGTCGTAACATGCGGCGTTGGGTGCGTCGGAGTGTCAGGAGCATGTCTTTTGTGAGAGTTTTCGTTTCGCAGCCATACATGACCGTTGGCGTCACCGTCCCGCTGAAGAGCCTGAGTCTGCTGCGAGGGGGGTCCTTGGCTGTTTGTGAGCTCGTTGCGGAACTGGTTGAATTTGCGCCACCCCGTTGCAAGTCTGTTGGGAGGGGCCGAGTGAATGTGGGGAAGGCGGGGGAACGGCTTGAGGGGGGAGGACCCGCTCGGGGCACAAACCTCGAGCTGGAATCGACGATGCCGAGGCATCGGCGAGGAGCCCCCGAGAGCGAAGCCGCACGCTCCTGGGCGGGGGGGGGAGCGATCGGGCGATGCATGGGCGACTGAGGGCCGATGCACTCCCTCCCGGATCCTCTCCCCCCCTGGACTCAGGTCGGGCATGTCTCCTACAGGCGGATTTTGGACGAAAATCAAGATAGCCAAACGAAATTCAAAAATAGCCCAAAGCACTCAAACATTCGTGCCAAAACTATGTTTGGCTACGTTTGACTAGTGCTCCTGTAGAGGGACATGCCCGACTTAACCCCAGATCCTCTCCCCCCTTGACGTTACCCTCGAGGGGCGAGGAGGGAGGATCGGACATCGGACATCGGACATCGAACCTGCAGCTGTCGCCGGCGGGGGCGTCGCAGGTTGGCGCCGTGGCACCGGGCAAGTGTGAGACAGATGAGCAAGCAACGCACACGTGCACATGCTACGTTACAATATGAAACACGCTGCAAAGGAGAAGGGGCAGGCGCCGTCCTGCCTACATGAGCTGCCTCAAACAAGTCCCATTTGTCGGAGGAGGGAGGATGGCCGCTGCAACCACTCAGCGCGGTGCCTCCGCCGACCGGGCGCACGGCCCTCTGGCGACACCCCCGCACACGAGGCACGAGCACACGACAAGCACCACGTCGGAATCTGCCCATCAAAGCAGCACGCCGATTGCAGACGTACAGTGTGCGGCCCGACCACAAGAGACCTTCCACAAGAAACCCAACCCTGAGGCCCCAGGATGTGCATTGATTTTTGGCGTGATAACGTCACGCCTTCCATCGTAAAACCATCGGAACCTAAGACACCCAGGGCACCCTGGAGGCAGTCAGGGCGTGTCTTGGCAAGGGTCTCCACTGTATGTGCGCGTATGAGCATCACCCAAGATAGGTGGCGGCATCCGAACCCTACCCCAACAAACCATCACTTCTCCTGCATCGATGTCAGCCCGGAGCAGAGCTCGGACTTCGCTACGTGCTCGACGACTTCCGAGCCCTACCCCCGCTGCCCATCGAATTGCCCGAAGCGGTGCTCGACGAGGGTAGGGTTCGGATTTCGCCGCCGACAGAACTCCGTGGCAGGCGCGTGCCTCTCCCCCAGCCTGGCAGGGGAGTACCGTGGGGGCCCGACCGCAAGAACCATTCCACAAGAAACGTAGTCCCCTGAGACCCCAGGACGTCAATTTACTTTTGGTGTGGGAGCGTCACGCTCTACATAGCAAAACCATCGAACCCTCAGAAACCAAGGGCACCCTGGAGGCGATAAGGGTGTTTCTTGGCATGGGTCTTCTCTGTAGATGCGAGGCGCAGAGGCGCGCTCCGGCCTTCCACATCCGGTGCTCCTCCGACTCCACCCGATCGGCCTGCAGAACGCGCCGCCGCCACGCTTGGAAAGAGAGAGTCGGCAGGGAAGGCGGCGCACCACCCTCTGCAGGAGGCCCTCCACATGGGGGCTAGAAGAACTGCGGTCCCAAGATCGCGCCGCATCGCCGATAACACACGGCGATGCGACGCCGGCGTTGTGAGGGTCTGATTCTCCGTCCCGCCGCATGCGTCGGCGATGCGTTGCGGCCTGGGACCTCAACCTAGAGAATCGGGGTATCCCTCTGCTGGATGTCCGAACGGGATCTGGCACGGAACTGTGCAAAATCCAAGGCCGAAGCGTTCACGGCACGCAAGTCCGACCAGCGGAGAAGAGGGGAATGAGGACGAACATGAGGCATGCGCACCAATCGTCCTGAGAAACTGAAGCTGGACACATCTCGCAATGTTCTACCTATGGGGCCATTGACCCGAGACAATCACAATGAGATGTGAACAAAACCGATACCTGGGAAGGCGTCGAGAGCTGCGGGGCCCGCGTGTACTGAAGTCACCTTGTCGCGACCCCAATGAACGACTCACTTAAATTTGAAGCCAACATGGTGTTTGCACTCCCGGCATGCAAGCACAGCGTAGCACTTGTAATGGTAGTAGTAGTGGCGCCAACCACTGGGAACACACCACAGGGCACCATATGACACTAGCCATATCGCACCAACCATGTAGAATCATGGGCACCAACCAGAATGAATAAACCATGGGGCGGCCCACCTTTAGGGAACCATCCATGAAACACAACAGGGCGCAAACCATAGGACATGAACCTTCGGGCATCAACCAGAAGGAACCAACAAAAATGAACCAACGAGGGCACCAATCGTATGGCACCAACCGTAAGAATCCAACCATATAGCCTCAGCCATAGGGTACCACCTGTATGGCACGAGCCACCACCACAGGGCGTCAGCAATGGCTAACCAACCATGGTGCGCAAACCACAGTGAGCTGACAGCAAATCCATGTTCTGACACCTCGGCGTTGGTTTCTGACACCTCGGCGTTGGTTTCTGACACCGCGTGGATCATCCAACCTTGACCGACTGGCGACTTATCGATCGGCAGATCGTTCATACTAGCCGATTCTGGGCCATCCGCAACGCTCAACCTTGAACGCGCCCGCCGCGGGTCTACCGCGTCGGCACGACACGAACCTACCGCACCGTTTAGCACCAACGGACCAAGAGATCAAACATAAGGCACCCGCTGTGGAACATCGACCGGAGGGCACCAGCGCACAGTGCACCAACCATGAAGCCCCCAGCCGCGACAGCTCATGCGACCAAACAATTGAAACACAAGCCGATCAGAGGAGGAGCAGGAGCAGGAGGAGGAGGAGGGGGAGGAGGAGGAGGAGGAGGAGGAGGAGGAGGAGGAGGAGGAGAAGGATGAGCAGGAGGAGGAGGAAAGACGACTGGACTAACGGACGCTTCTCGCCTGGGCCGCTGGCGACGGCCCGCCAGCTTCGACGGCGAGGAAACTGGAACAGATGTACAGTGCAGCAAATCCCCCCCCCATAACAAGCACCGCGACAAGCGAAGCCGTTTGGTAAACGCGTCCACAGAAGGGATCGAACAGGGCAGGGCGGCTTGGTAAACGCCTGGGGCCGTTTAGTCAACGCCATCGGCGATGCATCGGCGATGCGGCGCGATCCTCCGACCTCATCTACTCCGACCCCATCTAGGAGGCCTAGATGAATGCGTCATCGTGCCTCGAGGCACGAGTTGGAGCGCCCTCGTGTCTCATTGAAACGCTGCAATTGTTCATTCGCGGCCCACAGGCCCGAACTCCGGGCGCAGACGTGTGCTCTTGGGCTCCCTAAGACCTCTTGACGACGGGCCAAGACGCCATCGTACAAGAAAAACAAAAATGCCATAAACATAAACTGTTAGCGCTCCGCGCGGACTCCTTGGATCTGCGCTGGACCCCCCTCCCTGGCGCGCGGAGCGCGCCAGGGGCGGCGAGGCCCGGCGCGTATCCAGGAAAACTGCGCGGAGCGCCAAAAAGTTTATGTATACGGTTTTTGTTGTTGGAGCGCAGGAGCCCCCGAAAGGTCCACGAGCGCTCCAAATTACCCAAGATGGCCCCCGATAAGCCCCAAATCCTGATTTGCCTTGGGGGTCTAAGAAGTTACAGTGGAGGCAAGTCCACAAGAAACCTTCCACATGAACCCCAACCCTGACACCCCAGGACGTCCATTGATTTTTGGTGTGGGGACGTCACTCTTCCAATGGCAAACCCATCGGAACCCAAGAAACCCAGGGCACCCTGGAGGCAAGCGGGGTGTTTCTTGGCATCGGTCTCCACTGTAATCATGGCGGACGTCGGGGGGATCGCTCCGGGGCGGGGGGGCCGGCCACGAAGGGGGGTCCGATCCGGGGCCACTTCTGGTCGGGAACGGGAGGTGAGGACGTTGGGGATGGTCCCCCTCCTCCGCCTCCTCTTCCTCCTGCTTCTGCTCCTGCTCCTGCTCCTGCTCCTGCTCCTGCTCCTGCTCCTGCTCCTGCTCCTGCTCCTCCTCCTCCTCCTCCTCCTCCTCCTCCTCTTGGCATGGGTCTCCACTGTTTTCTTTGGGGCCCTCGGCCCGTCTTGTAGCCCTCTGGGCTACACTGTGGGGTCTCACTTGTGGTCGTCTGGGCCGCCCTGCTGAGCTCGTCTTTGAACCCACTGGCGGTGCGACTGCTGCAAGCACCCCCGCAGCGCACTCCGCTAGTCGCCGAGGCCGTAATATATGAAGCTTGGAGCCAGCCTTAAAACAAAACCAAAAAAACGCTGGAAGAGCCGGCGGCAGCCTCAGCACCAAGGCCACACTCAGCGCTTGAGAGCCCTGGAGCCTATCTTGGAGCTGGGGCGGGGGGGCGCTAATTGCCGATGCCGAGGCCGAGTCGCCGTGTCAAGCCAACCGTGATGGACGAGTCTGAAATTTGCGGGCGGCAGGGGGGGGGCTCAGGGGGGGGATATGATGGCGGGGCGCGTGATATCGAAAGATGTTATGGACCCCTTATCTTTTTTCAAAAAGTCCCCTGGTCCACCCTCGTCCGCGCAAATGCCTGGGGCCATGATGACCGAAGCCCCTCTTTGGACGCCGCCACTCTTGGACACCCCCAAGAAGTGCAGGATACTTCAGCGCAGCAAGTGCTCAACAGTATTGCTTCTGCTGCCTTGCGGCAGCCCGCAATGAGGTAACCTCCGGTCCCTCCGTTCACTCCGCGGTCCCATGTTGAATCACTGTCGGCATTTGGGTGCGTTGGCGCTGCGGAAAGGGCACGCGCACGCGGGATGGAGCGCTGATAAGCACCGCGAAGCTCCAATGGTGCTGCCACGAGTCTGCTGCTGCGTGCTGTGCCAGGGACAGGGCCTCCTAGCTGGGGTCCGAGGAGATGGGGTCGGAAAAGACCGCGCCGCATCGCCGATGCATCGGCGAAACATCGGCGAAACACCGGCAACGCCAGCGGTGCACAGGCGACGTCGGCGTGGAGACAATCGGGCTCTGGATCGCGCCGCATTGGTGATGCATCGGCGAAGCGGCGCGATCCTCCGACCCCATCTGCTCGGACCCCATCTGGGAGGCCGCCCAGACGTGAGCGGGGCCCACGGTGGACAGGTCCTGCCCCCCTGGGCAGACGGACGCCAACGCAAAGAGCTGCTGCCCGTGACAGTCATTGCTCGTGCGAGCGGTCCGTGGATCTGGGGCGTGGGCGCCAGATCCTCGGATCAGGGAAGGCATGAGGGGCAACGACAGCAGGGGGGCGGGGGGCAGAGGTGGGGGGGGGGAGGGGAACATCGACCTGGAATCGGCGATACGTCGCCGACAGATCGGCGATAGGCCCCTGATAATGAATCGACACGGTCCCGGGCAGGTGGGGGCTGCGGGCCCCTGTCGGCGATCAATGGGCGATAAGGGGGTCGACGCATCACCCCCATGTACCTATCGCCCGCTATCATTGCTCCTGAACGCACCCCCGAGACATGGAACCAGAGACACCCGATTTGGCGACGGACCCGTCGCTCACCCACGCGACTTAATCCACAGTGAGCGTTTTCTTATTCGGCGTTTCGGCATTGGGCGGATGGGAGGGGGTATGGCTCCGACCTCTGCTTCATGCGACCGCATGCAGCAGCAGTGCGTCCCAATCATTGGGGAGGCTTCCACTGCTCGAGACAGGCACCCAAAACAGCCAAGAATCTACTCCATGGGGGGGGGAGGTTGGGTGCGAGGGCCCGCGCCGATCGGCAAAACAGAATATAAGAAAACGATCACATATCCTAGCCACTCTGTTTGGGTGCATGGCCCGGGGCGGCATCCACACGGGCGCCTTCGCCTCGAAGAGACCCCTCCGCGCCTACTGGCCTGGTAACCTGTGCGAGAGGAGCCCCACAATGGTGCGCCGACGTGCGTACGCACAGCGCTGTGCTGCCACTGCTACGAGCAACCCGCATCAGAAGGATGCGCGATGAGGATGCAAGTTGGGAAACAAACAATGACATAAACATAACAACTCGGGGGTCCGCGCGGATTGCTCGGATCGGCGCTGGAGGCGCCGCCAGGGGGCTCCAACACCGATCCGAGAAATCCGCGCGGACCTCCGAGTTTTTATGTCATCTGTCATTGTTCGGTCGGCCAGCAGGGACCTTGGCCGCCCACGTCGAAGCTTCTCGAGCGGGGCGCGGCCAGCGGAGGTGGCGAAGCGTGGTCCGAGGAGGCAAGGACGTGCAAGGGTAGCCTTGGGAAGGTTGCCCATCCTTGCCATGCGTAGGGGGAAATCAAACCTACCTCGCTTTTGACCACCCTCGCTTCCAAGAGATACCAAACGATGCCAAATTGCAGCCTGTACTGGTCAGGCCGCTTGACGAGGAGGCGCGTGGTATGGCTTGGTTTTGCCTGGAAGCGAAAGCGGGGTAGGTAATTCACGCTCTGAATGCGGGCTGACTGTATGCAAGTGTGGCGCTTCCTCACGAAGGTCAACTGCGCCGCCAAAATGGGACCATAGCCACTGCTGCTTGGCCGTGCTTCGAGGGCTCGGGGGGCGGTGGATACGAATATCTGCCCGCCAGCGCGGGCGGGCAGATATCCATATCCGCCGCTCCTCGAGGTCCCAGGGCACGACTCCGTCGGCATACAGTCGGGCCTACAGTCGGGCCGCTGAACGAAGGAACGGAAAATGAGAAACGATGCCCCCTGTTGTCCCCCAAAGCGCCAGCGGTCACGAGAAGGGCTAACAGAACAGCCACTCATTGACCCAAGGAGCATCGAGCTCTTGTCGTGCCCAAACTGCTCCTTGTTTCTGCGTCTCGACCGTATTCTGGCGGTGGCTACGAATACTGAAAAGTCGCCGTACCCTTAATAAAAAGTAACGAATGCTATAAACATCAACTTTTGGCGCTCCGCGCGGATTTCTTGGATCTGTGCTGCACCACTCTCCCTGGCGCGCGGAGCGCGCCGGGGCGGCGCTGGAGGCGCCGCCGAAGGGCCCAGCGCGGATCCAAGAAATCCGCGTGGAGCGCCAAAAGTTTGTGTTTACGGCGCTTCTGGCGCTCTGGCGATGGATACCAATAAAGTGGATGCCAACTCGCAAGAAAAATTCCACAAGAAACTCAACCCTGAGACACCAGGGCGTCCATTGATTTTCGGCGTGGGAACGTCACGCTTTCCACAGCAAAACCATCGAAACCCAAGGAACCCAGGGCACCCTGGAGGCAAGCAGGGCGTTTCTTGTCATGGGTCTTCGCTGCATGCTTATGGCATTTATTGCCTTCTTCGAATCCTGGAGGTGGATAAAGATAGTGCAATGCCTCCATGGCCTAAATCTTATGGGGCCCCGCCCGTGGTCTCCGGTAGAGCGAGCGGGCCGGCGGGATCCTCCAAGAGCCCGGCACAGTGGAGAGCAGAAGCGCGCGACAGGCGCCCGACTAGTGAGCGAGCACGCGGGAGGCGCCCGACGAGCGAAACACAAATTCTAGAATGTGAGCGAATTCTGATTCGTCGTTTCGACACTGGGCGGAAGGGGAGGAGGAGGGGGGGGGTCTGGCTCTGGACCTCTGCTTCAGGCGACTGTTTGTAGCAGTGCGTCCTATGGGGGAGACCCCAACGGCTTGAAACAGGCGCCAGTAACAGCCAAGATCTACTCCATGGTGGGGGCGGGGAGGGCCCGCGCCGATCGGCAAACGAATGAATAAGAAAGCGATCACTCATAGAAGCATGTTGAGCCAGAATCTCGTACTCTGCGGTAGATCTGGAGTACGTGTTGCGTTCACGATGCAGCGGCTCGTGTGTGTGTGTGTGTGTGCGTGTGCTCCTCGAAAGCGCGCGGTCGTTCTAGAACTCGGTGCTGCGCTCCTGGGTTTGCTTCGAAATCCTAGCTGAAACTCCGTGTGGCGGTTCGGCAGACGGGGCGTGCACATGATGCCGGCGGTCGAGCTGCCCGGGCCAGCCTGAGTGCGGCGGGAGGGTTACGCCTCTGCCGCAGCTTGCCCGCAGCGGTGTTGTGGAGGAAATTGATGGGTGGCGGTGTTTTGAACCAAACAGCATGTTTTGGATTCCACCTTCTGCCTTCACCCTGACAAAATGCACTGATGTCTGCGCTTCCCAGGGTGGAGACACCGTGCAAATTCCCATCATCCTCCCTCTCCTCCTCCGTGCAGGTGGCCCGACACGTTGCCTGGAGAAACGAAGCAAGTCCCGTGTCCTCCTTTCGGAGGCAAGTCCCTGGAGAACTTCCTCATTCCATCCTGATCTCTATCTGCTGCGAGAAAGACGGCCAAGGCTTGGCAATCGTGGAAGGCACCTGGAGCTTTGTCTTCTCGGCCTCGGCGTACTTTTTCTGCTTCGCCAGGATTTCCTTGCGCAGGGGATGGGCAGGAAGAAGAGGGGAGAAGAGGACGAGGAGCAGGAGGAGGAAGAGGATGAGCCGAGAAGAAGGACATCGGGCGAGAGGGAGGAGGCGAGAAACAGGAGGATCAGGAGGAGTAGTCGTTGGGGGAGGACGATGGTGTGGAGACCCAAGAGAGGAGCAAATAATGAGGGGGAGACATGATGAGTTGGATGTATGGAAAAGCGCGAGGAGGGCGCCATGCGAGTTCCTCCTCTGGGGGGGCACGGGTGGCGCTCCCGATGGGGGGCACGATCCTCGTGAGGGGTGTGCGGAAAGGCGCGGGGGAGGAGGGAGGCGGCGGAGGAGGTGGAAGGAAGGGGGATGGGCGTGGATGCAGAACTGGGGAAGGAGGAGGATGAGGAGGTGGAGGAGGAGGAGGACGGAGGGCTAAAGGACGACGACGACCCCTGCCACCACCCCCACCACCACGACAACGACGACGACCACCACCACCACCACCACCACCACCACCACCACCACCACCCCACCACCACCACCACCACCACCACCACCACCACCACCACCACCACCACCACCACCACCACCACCACCACCACCACCACCACCACCGCGGGGCCTGGATCCGCCGCAGGTTCAGCAGGTCCTTGCTCCAGCGCGGCGTCCTCGGCTCCGTCTCGCGCCGCAGGCGCTCCAGGTGCTCCTCTCCGCGCCGCGCAGCCGCGCAGAGGGGCGCGCCCATGGCAGAGCGGCGCGCCGAGCGGCAGGCGCCACCTCGACCCCATCGACCCTCCAGCCTCGACCTTCGATCCTCCTCCATCCTCGGCCCTCGATCCGCGACCCTCGCCCCTGGGCCCTGGGCCTTCGATCCTCCGTCATAGATGGTCGGCCCTCAGCCCTCGACCCTCGATCCTGGACCTTCGCTCCTGGGCCCTCCAAGCTCGAACCTGGGCCCTCGTTCCTGGACCCTCGACCCTCGATAGAAAGAGGAGGAGGAGGAGAAGGAGGAGGAAGAGGCCGTGCCCCTCCTCCTCCTCGTCCCTCCGGCCTCCCTCGTCTTTCTCTCCTGCCAGGTCCTGAGGGACAATGCCCCCGCCCCAGCGTCGATGGCATGTGAACCCCTGCGGCGCGTTGGCACCTGGCGAGAGGTGGCCGCTACCCCGCGGCATACAACTAAATACCAGAGGATAGCTCAACCGATTGCTCCCCGCCCTCCTCCCTCTCCCGCCTCCTCCCCGTCCTCGTCCTCGTCTGCTGCGCGGGTGGTGGGCTTGGCCCCGAGTCTCCTGCTGGCCTCAGGCAGCAGGTGGCTAGGGGGCAGGTCTGGCCGTCGTGGTGTCCTGGGGTTGCCATCGTTGCCACGGCGCTTCTTCTTCTTCTTCTTCGAGGCGGCTCGCCGCCTTGCCCTCCTTAGGGCCTCGCCCATTCAATTCCATGCCTCGTCCTCGTCCTCGAGGCTCCCAAGAGGCGCCCCAAAACTGGTCCCAAGAGGCACCCGAAAGCGCTCCGAATGAGCATCCCTGAGAGCTTTGACCCGCAACCCAGGCACTGTGGCAAGATGGGTCGAAAGCTATTAGGTACCTACGGAAAGCTCAACGGATGGCTCCTCGCCCGACGCAATAATCACGCTGATTCGTGGCGTTGGGGTACCGAGATCGGTGCTTTGTCGCGCTTCAGGATCCTCAAACGGTTGTCTCCCAACGGAGCACTTCCCTCAGTGGAAATCATCCGTTGTAGGGCCCATATTAAGAGGGAGCTTGGAGAGAGGATATATTCCAATATCGTTGATAAGCTCTGGGTTTGCACTGGTCCTCCCGTCTCCTCCTCGTCCTCGTCCCCATCCTCCTCAACCCAACTCCCTCGTGGTCGTTTTCCTCCTCCTCCTCCGCCTCCGCCCCTGCCTCCGCCTCCGCCTCCGTCTCCTCTTCCTCCTCCTCCTCCTCCTCCTCCTCCTCCTCCTCCTCATCCATCCCCCACCTCGTCCTCGTCCTCGGTGGCGGGATGGGCCGAAGGCTATTGGATACCTCCGGGTAGCTCCACGGACGACTCCCCGCCCTCCTCCTCCTCCTCCTCCTCCTCCTTCTCCTCCTCCTCCTCCTCCCGCCGTCTCCTCCTCCTCCTCCTCCTCCTCCTCCTCGTCCCCGTCCTGCTCCACCATCCCCCTCCCTCCCCTCTCTCCGTGCTCACGCGCTCTCGCGCGCGCTCCCGCCCATCTGGCGCACGTCGGCCGCCCTGGACCCGCCTTCAAGCCCCTTGCAGCAGGGACCCGACCACGAGAAACCTTGCACAAGAAACCCAACCCTGAGACAGGGCGTCCATGGTTTTTTGGTGTGGGAACGCCACGCTTTCCACAGCGAAACCATCGAAACCCAAGGAACCCAGGGTGCCCTGGAGGCAAGCAGGGTGTTTCTTGGCATGGGTATCCACTGTAATCATGGGGGGCGTCGGGGGGGGGGTCGCTCCAGGGCGGGGGGGGGCACCACGAAGAGGGGTCCGATCTGGGGCACTTTCTTGTCGGGAACAGGAGGGTAGGACGTTGGGGATGGTCCCCCTCCTCAGTCTCTTCCTCCTCCTCCTCCTCCCCCTTCTCCTTCTCCTCCTCCTCCTCCTTTCCTTTCCTTTCCTTTCCTTTCCTTTCCCTTATGATGAACAACTTATCCCTGTCACACCCCGAGGCCAGTTATTCGGGCGAGCCGGGCGCTTCGCCTGAGACTTCCTCACAATGACTCTGAAGCTTTAAAACCAGCAACAGCTTCACAGATGGAGGGCGGGTCGTTTTCAAAGTGTGGCTCTCGCCTCACAGCGGCGCACATTCGTTATACAAAATGGCAAGAGCTTGACGGATTGAGGGCGGGTCGTTTTCAAATTGTGGCTCTCGCCTTAGCGCGGGGCACAGTTGTTGTACTCAGTTTCAGGAACTTCACGGATTGAGGGCGGGTCGTTTTCAATTTGTGGCTCTCGCCTTAGCGCCGCGCATACTCGTCATAAAAATTGGCAGAGCTTCACGGATTGAGGGCGAATGGTTTTCAAAATGTGGCTCTCGCCTCAGCGCGGTGCACATCCGCTTTTTTTAATGCAAGAGCTTCACGGATTGAGGGCGGTTCCTTTTCAAAATGTGGCTGACGCCTTCGCGCCGCGCACATTCGTTTACACAATTCTCTAGAGTTCCACGGATTCCCATCAGCAACGTACCAGAAATTGAGTTTTGGACGCATTCAGGATTATGCGGGTGTAGCAGTTACACCGGATCCCTGTGTTAAGTCCTAGGAATGGCGTTCTGGCATGATTCAGAATCGTCAAGGCGCAACAGTCAGGTTGATCCGTGGCGTTAAAATCCCAAGAATAGTGTTTCGGCATGCTTCAGGGACTTCAAACGGGTGTCTTCCAACGAGGCAATTCCATCAATGGAAGGGAACCATTCTATGGGGCCTATGAAGAGGGAGCTTGGAGGGAGCGTTTACTCCAACATCGTTGACTCTTGGGTTTGAACTCGTCCTCTTCCTCCCCAAACTGTCCCACTCCTCCTCCTGCCCCTCCTCCTCCTCCTCCTCCTCCTCCTCCTCCTCCTCCTCCTCCTCCTCCATGTGGGACGTCGGGGATCGTCCCGCGGCAAGGGGCCTGCCACGAGAGGGGCCCGATCTGGGCCGCTTCTGGTCGGGAGCCCGGGGGCGAGAGGCCAGGAGGCGAGAGGGAGAGGGGAGGGGCAAGGGCGGGAGGAGGACGAGGCGACGAGGACGGGGGAGAGGGCGGAGGAACACCGAGGCGAGGTCTCGGCGGGAGAGGGAAGAACGGAGAGGCGGGGTCCGGGAGGTCCCTCCGCCCCTCCTCGCCCAGGAGGGTCCAGGGCGAGGAGGGGCAGAGGGGAGGAGGACGAACAAGGCGAGAGACCAGGCGCGGCGGCACGTGCGGGCAGCGCTGCGGCGCGTCCGAGAGCTGAGAGCTGCACGTCAGAGCGAGAGGGGGAACCGAGCTGTCTCTCACTGTCGGCTACACGTAAGAGAAGACCCTGGGCAAGAATGACCTTCGGTGCGCGGCCTAACGGGGGACGCGGAGTGGCCAAAACCGGGCGCGCAAGCCACTGCTACCGCTTCGCGCTCAGCGATCGGGGGATCCCATTGGGCCCGCACCAAAGGTCTCTCCGGCGAAAAGTCACCATTACGTCCAGTCGACACTATCCGTGGGTGCGTGCGTGGCTGAAGTGCTGGAGTGCTGGAGTGCAAATTCATCTCGTGTGGTTACGCTGGGTTGTGGCGTTGTTGCGCTGTCATTGTCGTCCACGCCCGCGACCCGCCCGCGACCCACCCGCGACCCAAACCGCGACCCACACAGCGAACCACCCTGCAACCCACCCACGCTCCCACCCACGACCCATCCACGCTGCTTTGACAAACAAATCGGCGCCTGCGGCGGGCTTATTCAGAGCTTCGCAGACTGCCGACGACCCCTTGGCCACCCTCGCTCGTATCCACAGCTGCGGAGGCCCACTTATAAATATAGATTTGGAACCACAATTTCTCAACTCTTCGGCGGCCCAAGACCGCGGGAGCCACGTCTATCGATACCACGCGAACAAGATCAGGCATACTAAATTGAAGCGGCGAAGCTCCGTGGCCGCTGCAACCGTGGGGACTTGGGAGGCTTAGAGCCTAAGAGTGTTCGATAAGTACTTGAGGCCATCTGGGGAGACCCAAGGTGTATCGACCGCCTGACTTCGAACACCGCGCCGCGCGATGCGCGACCCGCGGGTGTACTCGAACCCTCGTGCCACCCTCTTGGGGAAGGGCAGCCGCCCTGGCCCAGACTGCGACGTGCGAAGCGCGATTCTCTTCGCGCCCCCGGTGGTGCCCTCGGCTTTCGATGGTCGAGGCGACGGCGTCACCCCCCCCGCCGGTCGGTTGCTGCTCGGGGGTGCTACGGATTCTTTCGGGGGTGCTGAGGATTCCCCAAGGACCCCCTTGGGATTCCGAAGGACTCCTTCAGGATTCCCTCGCTTTGGGGCGATCGAATTTGAGGAGGGAGGGGCACGTGCACCTTGCGTGCACCGTTCGGACCCCTGGGGGGGGGCCCTCGGGCGCAAGACGTGTACTTCCCTCGCCCCCCCACTCTTGAGGGGCAACGATGGGGGGGACCGGCACAAGGGGAGAAGATTAATCGAACTGGAAGCGGCGATACATCGCCGATAGATCGGCGATAGGCTCCCGATATCAAAACCGAACCTTCCTGGGCGGGGAGAGGCTGCCCCCCAATGCAGGAGGACAATCTCGAAGCAAGTGCAGCTGCAGCCGACGACGACTGTCTGTCGAGCAAACGACGGCTCGCCCCCGGGGACCTGCCGACCCGGGCCCACCCAGACCCGGGCCAGCCGGGCCCTGCATGGCCCTGCAGGTATCCTGCGAGGTCCTGCACCCGAGCCTGGGTCTGTGCGCCCCTGGCTCTGCAGGATCCTGCAAGCTCTGGCGCTCTGGCTGACCCCCCTTTGCGCTAGGTCGGGCATGTCTCCCTGCAGACCGATGTTGGAGGAACAGGAATAACCCAAAAATGTTCAAGAATAGTCGAAACATCTTCCCCTGACTATTTTGTAAACCATCTTGACATCTTGCTCCTGTAGAGGCACATGCCCGACTGAACGTTTGCGTTGACCACCGGCCCTTGAGCCCCGATCGCCCCTCTCCTGGGAGCACCGGCGCTGCGCCACAATGCTGCAAAACGGCGAGGGCACGAGCCACGGGGCGCGAGAGGGCGCGCCACAAAGGCTCCTGGTGCTCCGCCTGGTGCCTGGCGGCCAGGGTGTTCTGCAGGGTGGCAGCGTGTGCCTCCCAACGGGAGAGGGAGGGGCAGGAGGTGGCAGGCGGAGGAGGAGGAGAAGGAGGAGGAGGAGGAGGAGAAGAGGGGGAGGAGGAGGAGGAGGAGGAGGAGGAGGAGGAGGAGGAGGAGGAGGAGGGGAGGAGGAGGAGAGGAGGAGGAGGAGGAGGAGGAGGAGGAGGAGGAGGAGCAGGAGGAGGAGGAGGAGGGGAGGCAGGAGTTGGCAAGAGGAGCGACATCGGCCTGCAGAGGAAGGGTGGACAAAGACAGAGGACTGAGAGATGGAGAGAGAGAGAGAGAGAGAGGGAAACGGACAGACGACAGAAGACAACAGACGATCGCCGCAAGCCTGCTCCAGTGCTCCCATCCCAGACCCGCATTTTCCTCCACCTTTTCCTCCTCCTCCTCGTCCTACTCCGCCTCCGGCCTCCTCCCACTCCCTCCTCCTACTCCTCCTCTTCTCCTCCCTCCTCCTCGTCCTCCCCGTCCTTCCTCCTCAGTCCCCCTCCCTCCTCCTCCTCCTCCTCCTCCTCCTCCTCCTCTTGCCTCTTGCCTGCCTTGGGGGATGAGTCCATTGAGGTACCCCTCTAGAGAAAGAAAATCCTGGGCCATCTCCATCCACATTTGTCACCACAGGAACCAGGGGCGAAATCTGGAACATGAGGCCGCGACAGGAGGTGGACCCAGGCTTCTGATCATTCAGGCCAAGCCTTAAGATCAGGAGGAAGTTTCCCAGCCATCAGAGCCCTCCCCACCCTCCTCCCATGATCTGTGAGGCCAGGTACACACGTTCCCCCAAATTTCAGCAATTTGCCTCTTGAGGGAACCCCTGAACCTCCACAGAGCTGGCACCAATACGCGCCCCTGTAAGCTTCCAGCTTGTGGGAGGGGTGGATGGAGGTGGGCTGGCCTGGGCAGGGCGACCGAAGGAAAGCCTCTCGCTCGCCTCGATCGGACTGAAAACGCACAGTGCAGCGCCAGGAAGCTCGCCCCCTCTGTTCAACGGCGTGAGACGACTGAGACACGAGGAGGACCAGCTGCGCTTCCTTTTCCTGGCGCAAGGCCGCAAGGGAACTCTTGGCCTCCTCCTGGCGGTTGCCCTTGGACGCTGCTCCATAAAAGGGTAGGGGCCTGCTGAACTAGGGCCATGGACACCGCCAAAATGTAGTCGAGAACTTTGTGACACAAATTATCTGATTCTGCAACCTGACGCCTCGCATAAAACGGGATATGGGCCATCTCAGCTCCTTTCTCAGCAGCCTTATCCGCCAGACGATGAGCCTGCCAGTGGACTGGATCGAAGCCTAGGGTGACTGCATCCTCGTGAGAAAGGTGAGAACGGATCTTGTGCACAGTGATCGGACGCGCACCAACTGCGCGCCAGAAGTCCTTCCACATCGAAATCATCTTTTTGTGCCTGAAACGGGGCCCAGCGCGAATTCCCCGCACGACACCTTCATTATCTATCACGCACTCTAAGGGGCCTGTGGTGAGCTGAGCCGCGCGAGTGATAGCATACAGTTCAGCAGCAGGCACTGTCCGGTTATCACATGGCAGAGGGCCAAGCCCCCACGCTACATGCTGGGCGCCTCGCAAGACGGCAAAGCCCCAGCCGCATCTCCTCAGCCGAGGATCCGAACCCTCCTCACCCCCAGCCCCATCCGACCCGATCACACACCCCTGATCAAGCTCATATGGATGAGCCACCAGCTGGTCCGAGAGCTTCTCTTCACCCTGGATCGGGACACACACATGCTGGTACGTCCAGGCCAGGGGAGGCAGACCTCGGAGCCAGAAAGACGGGGCGTCTCCCGACTCGGTTTCCGCCTGCCTCCTCAGGGAAGCGTTGAAACCTGGGATGGGGTCATTCAGAGGGCAACTCCAGAGCCGGCGGAGAAGGGTCTCTTGAGGCGCTCCACACCGAGGGCAAGAAGGGGATGACCAGACTGGGTTGGGTCCAAGGATGGGCTCGTCATCGCTTAAGCCACAGTGCAAATCCTCTTGAAATTGAAATTCGTCTGCCGCGTGCGACGCCTCATCTAGCATCGCATCGAAGTCACATTCCTCCTCGTCTAAGCCAAGCGAAGTTCGCGGAGGATCTGCGGGGAGGGGAGCTTCATCGGGGGCCTGGGCCCTCGGGAAAGGTCTCCTAGCCTCTTCCCCAAAACGCCGCGAGGCGGGCCACAAGGCCCCCGACAAAACCATTTCTAAAACACCAGCCTTGTCGTAGGCTCCCGAGGCTCTAAGTTTGTTCAACCTCCGAAGCGGCACAAACATGTCAGCTCGACCTGCCAGACTGCTGCCATCATAATGTTCACTGGCTTTTTTTCCACGCAAGAACATCAAACGCCTCCAGCAAATCAACCGTGAGACGTTCTGGATCACAGGCGAGCACATGGAAAACCTCACCATCCGTTCCAATCCAGGTGGTGGGATCCTGCGGCGCCCAGCCTGCTTCCAGCAAGCAGGCAACAGTGGCGGCCACAAAGCCTGACACTCGCTTCCAGCGGGTGGCTGGGTCCTGCAGTCGGGCTAGCTCTTGTCCCCACGCTTTGCGGAGACCATGCTGGTTAGCCTCCTGCAGGCTCGGAAGCATGTGAATCCACTCCTTCAAAACTCGCATTCTGGTCGAGATCATGGGGTCATGGTGGGGGTCCTGGAAAGCACAACGCAGAACCGTGGTAGCACATCCCCCTTCTCTTCTCCCCACCATGCCCGCCATGGCCGCTCTGGCCCTTCAAGGCCAGGGTCGGACTTACTCCTTGGGCCTCCAGGCCCCAAAGAGCCTGGGCGGTCCACCCAGTCCGTGCTAACATCCTACAACGACGGTCCGTCTTCACAACTCGTTTGATCATACACGCTCGATGGCTGGCTGCCTGAAACCGCTGCTTGGGTACTGCTACTGAGCGTCTCACACCTACAGTGCCAATGCCAAGGTCATCTTGAAACCTGAATTGATTAGGGCGGTGCCTAAGTCCTCACTAGCCTCAACAGCCTGTTTCACTATAACCTCAGCCTTGCCTATGTGCCGCTGACTCAGGTCATCCACCCAGGTCTCCAGGGCCAGGGGGCGAAAACGGGCATGTGCGTCCTCCAGGATATCCCAGAGAGCCACCTTCGAGATGTCAACGCTCTGAGAACAGCCTGCCAGGAGGCTCCTGGATGGGCACAAAGCCTGGGAGATGGCACCTGAAGCGCGGAGGCGTCGCGGGGCCCTGTGCATATCTAATGCCAGGAACAAAGGCAAGAGAGGGTAGTCCACGCCAGCAGCTATGTCTACTACTGAACGCAAATCTACATGATCATAGAATTTCTCGAGGTCCCATAGGATCTGGATCCAACTGAAACCCATCGCCGTTGCGATCTCACACTGGGTCTGCCGAAGTATGGCAGCTCGCAGAACCGAAGAATCCCTGACCGCCCGATCCCAGTACTGAGCCCGCTCCACCGTCCAGTTCGAAATATCTTGCCGACGCGCTCTGCCCCAGACTCGGTAAAGGCCCTGGGTTAGCGCTATCGGACGGTCTGCAACTACATTTTTAAAGATTAGCTGGATGATGATGAGCCTGACCTGGGGGGGCCAGGCGAGCTCTGCTTCTACTAGCCTGAGGCGATCTACAAGCTCTAGGAGGGCCTCCTCCTCCTCCTCCTCCTCCTCCTCCTCCTCCTCCTCCTCCTCCTCCCTCTCCTCCCTCTCCTCCTCCCTCCCCCTCTTCCGTCCTCCCCACTCCTCAGCCGCCGCCCCGGTGCGAGGAATCTGGGCGCAGACACCCGGCATCCCCGAACCTCGCACAGGGCGCCTGCCGTGCGCGCGGGCCCGCGCCCCCGAGGCGGGCGGGCACGCCCGTGCGCGCTCTCCTGGTGGCTGCGCGGCCGTCCGCGCCTCGCGATCCGGAGCCAGCCTGGCACAGGCGGGCTCGGACCCGGCGCGCAGCCTCGCAGAGAGGAGGAGGAGGAGGAGGAGGAGGAGGAGGAGGAGGAGGAGGAGGAGGAGGAGGAGGAGGAGGAGGCGGAGGAGGAGGCGGAGGAGGAGGAGGCGCGCCCCCCCGCAGAGAGCCCGCGCCCCCGTGCGGCCCCCTTGGCCTCTTCCGGCCGTGGCGCGGGCGACGCGGGCGCGCCACCCTCGGGCCCGGCGTACGCGGCGGGCGTCCTGGTCCGCGTGATTGCCATGGCTCGGACGTCCCTTCCTCGCGCACGGTGCTCGATGGCGGCGCGTGCACTTTGCTGTCGCGAGGTGGTCCGGGAGGCTCCATCGATGGCCCTGGCCGAGCAGAAACTGCACACGCCCGAGCGATGCCAAGCAGCCTGGCACAGGCGGGCGCGGACCCAGCGCGCAGCCGCGCGGGTCCTGGTCCGCGCGGCGGCGGCGGCGAAGGGCGTGCTGCCGGACCACCATAGCGGCGTCATGCACCCGCGCGGCGGGAGGCGGCCGAAGGACGGAGGAGGTGGCGCTGCAGGCGCAAGGGTGGCAGCAAGGAGCAAGCCCCCGACGGCCAGACGGTGCGCACTTCGGCCCCCTCGCGTCGCGAACAGAAACAACGACGGACACGCTTGTGGTTCTGTTCGGCCTCTGGGGGCCCGGCCAGGCCGTACCCTGGGGGCCGTCCAAAGACGACTCGAGAGGAGCAGCCTGTCCCGGGGGTGTGAGTCGAAACTTCTGAACAAGCATGACCTCGGGGAGCTGGACTCTTGCCCGTTCCCCCCCCGTGCCCGTGCCTTCTTCTTTGCGCTCCCTTCCCTCCCCGCCCCCTCCGCTCCCCCACCCCACCCTCACCCTCCTTGCGGTCTTCACTTTTGTCATCCACCCTCGTGCTCCTTGGCCGCGTCCGCGCTTCCGTCCTCCACCGCCTCTCACTCCTCCTCCAAATCCGCTGTCCTCCTCCTACTCCTTCTGCTCCTGCTCCTAATCATGCAACTACTGGTCCTCCCCATCATCCGTTGCGTCCTCCAGCGTCTCGTCTCGTCCTTCTCATCCTACCCCACCACCCTCGTCATCGTCGTCTCCATCCCTCTCCGCATCCCTCCCCCCTGACTCCGCCGCCTCCTTCTCCTGCTGTTCCTGCTTCTCCTCCCCTTCTCCTGCTCCTCCATCCCAGCTCCCTCCTCCCGCTGACTCCGCCTGCGCACTCCTGCTGATCTTCCTGTCACCACCCACCCCGACCCCTCGCCGCGACCCCCCCCACCCACAGCCGCCCGCCTGCCCGTGACTCCGTCGCATCGGATCCCGGGCCTGGACGTGGCCCACACGAGGCACCCGTCGAGGGCTCCAGCGGCCCGCGCGGGCCTCTCGGCCCTGCCGCGAGGAGCACGGCAACGCGGCACTGGCCATCGCTCGGACGTCCATTCCCTGTGTTTTTGCTCGGCTTCGTGCGTGGTTTTTCCGCAGGATGACCCAGGCTGCTCCTTAATAATCCCCGCCGGGAAGAAGTGCACACGTCCGAGCGATACCAAGGCAACGTGGCAGGGGGAAGGGCGAGAAGGTCGCAGGGGGAACCGCGAGGTGGCAGGGGGAGACGACAGGGCGGCCGGGCCTCGAATTCTGCCGCCTTCCGGTCCCAGATCTCGTTGAATTCCTGCGCCCGAGGACGGCGGCGCTGGCGCGCGCGCGCGCACACGCACAGCGGGGGAGGCGCGAGAGGGCGGGGGTGGGCGTGCTAAGAGGCAGGATGGGCCTCGCAGAAGGCTCCTCGGAAGCCTGGTTTCGAACCCCGTGCGTACTCGGAAGGCCGGGCAGGAGGGAGGAGGGAGGAGGGAGGCGGAGGAGGAGAGACCAGTGTAAACCCAAGACGCATCAGCGATGTTGCAGAAACAAAACCTCCGAGGAGAAGAGAGGACGAGAAAGGAGGAGAGAAAAGGAGAGAGGAGGAGAATGGGGAGGAGGAGACAGTAGGAGAGCGAGAGAGGAGGAGGATGAGGAGAGAGGATGAGGAGGATGAGAGACCAGTGTACAATCAAGGCGCATCAACGATGTTGCAACAAAACAATCCCTCCATGTTCTATCTCGAAAGGTCCGTACAAGAATTTACTTTAACTGCAGGAATGCCCATCGGAAGATAGCCGTCCGTCATCCTCCATCGTGCCATGGCACTGTTCCTGGAACTGCAGCTGTCCGCCAATGATGCTGCATTCAACCCTCCCTCCACGCTTCTCCTCCTCCTGACTCCCTCCCTCCCTCCTCGTGCTCGCCACCCGCTCCTGCTCCTCCTCCTCCTCCTCCTCCTCCTGCCTCCCTCCTCCTCCTCCTCCTCCTTCTCCTCCTGCCTCCCTCCTTCTCCTTCCTCCTGCCTTCCTCCTCCTCCTCCTCCTCCTCCTCCTCCTTCTCCTCGTCCTGCCTCCCTCCTCCTCCTCCTCTTCCTTGTTCTCCTCCTCCTCCTCCCTCCTCCTCCTCCTCCTCCTCCTCCTCCTCCTCGCTCGCGCACGCGCCCAGCGGGGGGGGGGGGGGAAGCCGAATGCACGAGCGAACGAACCAACCTCGGAATCTCCGCCGAGTCGGTCACACACGAGCCTCCGCTTTTCGCGTTGCCTACAGGAGGACCTGAGCCAAAAGAACATCAATCAAGAGCATGAGACCCCTCCTCCTCCTCCTACTCCTCCTCCTCCTCCTCCTCCTCCTCCTCCTCGTCCTCCTCCTTCTCCTCTTCCTCTTCCTCCCCCTCTTCCTGCTCCTCCTCCTCCTCCTCCTCCTCGTCCTCCTCCTCCTTCGACCATCCGCCGGCCAAAACACACAGAACAGTCTAGGGTACACTCCACAGGAGGCACAAGAGCATCTAAATAAACAAAACGAAGAACACTGGGGAACCCTACCCGAACCGACCTCGATCATATACCTTGGTCCGACCGTGATCGCAATCGGGCTCTGGTGGAAACCATCTCGATGATCGCTGTCGCTTCGCGTCGAAGGGGCCTGCAATCACCATTGAGCGACCAGGCCCCGACCACACTTCGCCCCCACGCAGAGCTTCCAGCGGGAGAGCGGTGGGCCGGGCGAGGACTGGGGGGATCGAGCTCACTGCGATGGCATGCCGACGATCGGCGGCGAGCTGGGGGGAAAGCGAGAAGGAGAAGGCCTACTCAGAAGGCTGGGAAATCCACGGGCCTTATGGGAAGTTTTCCAAGCCGTCCTCGAAGAGACAGGCGCGAGGGCTTCTGAGAGGCCCCGCCGCCTTCGGAGAAGGCCTTCTCCTTCTCAGTTCCCCCCCCTCGCTCGCCGCCGAAAAGAATGGACGGGGGGGGCAGGGATGGTGGGAGGGACGAGGAGGAGTTAGGGACGAGGAGGGGGAAGGGGCGAGGATGGACGAGGAGGCCGAGAAGGAGCAGGGACGGGGGCGACGAGGAAGAGTCAAGACGAGGACCCCGACCCACTTTTATTTGTGTTGGGAGTGGCGTCCCTCAGAAGACGCTTTCTGAATTACCCGAGCCTCGAAAACAACCAGCCACACACACACACACACACACACTCTCTTGCGGCCAGGCACGCTCTCATGCTCTCATGCGGCCAGGCAAGGGCGATGGTGGGATCCTGCAGCTCCGTCATGTGGGCCTGGGCCGGAGGAGAGGAACGTGCCGATGCTACGAGGCTTGCGGAGTCGCACTTGACGTAGGGTACTTGAAACAACGCATGGATTGCGGTTTATGTTAACATGGGCTCGAAACACGAGGAAACCAAAGAGATCTCAAGATGATTGCACGGGCTTGTCTGCCCTGACCACGAGTGCCCTTAGGTAGAATTGCAACGCAACGGGCCTTGCCAAGCGAGGGGCTGCAAAGCCCTGCAACTGTCCCGCAACTCCTCACGCTGCGCGCTCATCTCCGCCAGTCCTGTCCCTCGGCGCCTCGTTCCCCTGTCTGCGCCTTCTCCTCTTCATAGTCAGCCTTCCTGCTCCTGCTCCTGCTTCACACCTCCTCCTCCAGCTGCACCCCCTTGCGTTCCAGGGTGTAAATGTGCAGCCGCTGCCACGCGCTTCGCTTCGACTGCCGCAGGTCACTAATGAAGCCGCCTGAGCCGCCAACCACACAGCGCGCAAACCGCCAACGAAGACAGTAAGGTTAGGTAAAACATGTCCTCCTACTGGCGGGTTGAAAACGAAAGAACCAACGAGTCTTAATGTCTCAAGAACAACCGACATGGGGCGATAATAATACCCGGGGGATAATAAAAGTCAGGGGTCTGGCGGGATAATAAGGATTTGCCCGGGGAAGGAGAACTTATGATGATGACGATGATGACGATGATGATGATGATGATGATGATGATGATGATTATGATGATGGTGATGGTGATGGTGATGGTGATGGTGATGGTTTGGGCAAACTGAACTGGTGAGAATCTCACAGCCCTGCCACACGCTCGTGATTGCGGGAAGCTGACTTGGTGAGACCACCATGGCCATGCTCAGCGTGTTGATGCTGTTGCTAGTCCAAATGAGATGATAACAACTTCGATTCGCAACTTCCCCGGTGGATTATCAAGTTCGGCCTCCGCGCCCCTATCCACAATTAAATCCCGTGGAACGGGGATGATAGAAATAGAAAGGGTGAAGGGGGGGTATGTATTTGGTGGACGCCTCGCCACTGCGTCATCCTCCCCTCCCATCCTGATCACGGCACGATTCGCGTCGGCGCCGTCTCGGAAACATCCATTTCTAGACATTCTGAGACCGCGGCAACGCGAATCGTGACGTTGGCGTCCCCCTCCCACCCTACCCGACCCAGGTCACACCCGCTATCGCCAGCAGATACGAAATTGTTTCATTATGAAGAATACAATAGAGCAGAACACACACCCTCATAATAAACATCCCGATAAGCGAAGCCGTTGAGTAGACGCACCCAAGCAACGCATCGAACAGAGCAGGGGCTACTCAGTAAACGCTGAGGGCCGTTTGGCAGAGACCAATGATCGGGGTCGGGGTGGCTTTTCTTCCGTTGATGCAAATGGGGGGTCATTTGGTATGCCTTGGCATGGCCTTGTAGCGAGAACAAAAGACGAAATGTACCCTTTGACTGAGCTCAAGAAGCCCACAGTGAATACCCTGCCAGACTTCACCGGGTCTACCAAGGCTGGACCACGAGAGGCCTCGGACAACAAATAGCAAACCCTCATGCCACGGTCATCGCTCCACGCCCCCCCATCCCCCCAACGCCCAAAGTGGGCGGTGGGCCTGACGAGCTGCACTTCGACAGGAGCCTCCTCCGCGCGTGCCCACTTTGAATTTTGCGGCGACGACCGGCGGCGGCGGCGGCGGCGGCGACCGCCTCCTCCACGCCCAAACGCTCCGCGAGCTGCTGCGACCGGAGCTCCTCGCGCCTCCGGCTCTCCTCTCCGGGCGGGGGAGCGGCATCGACAGATGCCGGTGGGCAGGGAGGCCGACAGGGGCATCGAGCATCGAGGATCGGGGTGTGGTTTTTGGACGGCCCTGGCCCTCCTGGGGCCGCGGCGGGCGTGGCCTCGGCTGGACGCCGCTCGAAGAACTGGGCAGGATCCAAGAACGGTGGACACCAATGTCTTTGTCGCTTGCAGTCGGTAGCGACCGATCGCCTCTCCAAATCGGTCGCGACCGATCGCGACTGATTCCAAAGTCGGTGGCGTCTTGTCGCGACCGATCGGTCGCGACCGATTTTGAAGCCAATCGGACCGTTGCCAGAAACTGAAGCAAAATAGGTAGCGGTCGATCTCGTCGGTCGCAACCAGAAACATCTGGCATCCCATGATCAGGTGAAGGGACTCTTGGCAGTTCGGGGGGCCCCTTGGGGCGTCTTAGGTGTTTTTTGGGGGCCTCTTGGGGTCTCTGGGGGAGTCACTCGGAGGCATCTCGGGGGCCTCTTGGGAGCATCTAGGGCCCTCTTGGGCACCTCTTGGAGCCGTCTTGGGACACCCAGCCTTGGGGGCCATATGAATGCCATCTTGGAAAGATGTCGATCAACGGAGGGGAACCCAGGATGGTCTCCCGTAGGGGGGCTATACCTCTCCAGGATCCTCAGAACGCGTGTCGACGCCAACGTGTGTGTTTGTCGGGATCCGTCAGTGCGACGCCGGCGATGTAAATACCGTAGCACCCCGCAGCTGCGGATAAAAATGAGGGGGCGGCGAAGACGTCGGCAATCTGCGAGGCTCTGAATCACGCCGCAGGCGCCTAACTTCTACAAATGATGCAGTGAACCCGCCGCAGGCGCCGCTTGTTTTTTCGTTCAAGCAATGTGGGTGGGACGCAGATTGGGTGGCGGGCGAGTCGCGGGTGCGTCGTGGGTGGGTCGCGGACCGGGTCGCGGGTGGGTCGCGGGTGGGTCGCGGGATGGGTCGCAGGGCGGGTCGCGGAGTGGGTCGCGGAGTGGGTCGCAGGGTGGGTCGCGGGTGGGCGCGGGGTGGGTCGCGAGGTGGGTCGCCGGGTGAGTCGCGAGGTGGGTCGCGTGTGGGTCGCGGGTGGGTCGCGGGGTGGGTTGCGGGTGGGTGGCGAATGGGGGTCGGGGTGGGTCTCGGGGTGGGTCGCGGGGGGGCGGCGCCAAACAACAACAAACAACAAACAACAAACAAGCAACAAACAAACAAACACCAAACAAACGAACAGACAAACAAACAAACACCCAACTAACCAACCCAACAAGAACAACAAAGAAAAGGCCGGTAACAGAGCCCCGGCACCACCTGCCAGCGGCTCCCGGCCCTCCCCTCCTGTGAAGGCCAGGCTCGAAGCCCCGGTGCCCCAGGTCGAGCCCCCCCCCCAGCAACAGTAATCAGCAACCCTACGACCGAAACGGCGTGGTGAACGAGGAAGAGGAAGACGCTGGGGGAGGAGGAGGGGAGGAGGGGAGGAGGACGGGAGGAGGGGGAGAACGGAGGAGGACGGAGAGGAGCAGGGAGAGGAGGAGGAGCGGCACGCGGCTGAGAGGGGGGATGGGGGGGGGTCCCACGGTGTCCTCGGCTAGCTCAGCAGCTCCCGCAGCCCCGAGTTGTGGCGGACCTGCTGTCGGAGCCTTGCAGCAAACGCATTCCTTGTGAAGGATGGGGGCCTTTGCTCCCTGGTTCTACTTTGATTGTAGGCATAATGAACAAGATCGATGGCAATGGCGTGGAGGCAGCAGGAGTCGGAGCCCGCCGAGCCCCAGAGAGAGGGGAGAAAAGCGGAAAAAGGACGAGAGGCCACCCAACCCGCAGGGAGAGCGGGGAGGACGGAGGAAAGACACAAAATCACATGAGGACATCTGAAATAGTGCTCTATACAGTCGCCCCCCATATTTGCACAACCTAACCTGCAAATCTGAGCTCCGCCTCGGAAGCGCCTCGAAGTGGGCCACGCATTGAAGATGGTCCTAATTACAGCACTTGTTATGCTGGGAGGGCATCTCTGGCTGATCAGCTTCAGTCTAAGGAAAACGCGGTCAAAATCGGGACCAGAGGCCTCAGGGGTCCAATAACGGAGCCTCGGGGAAATGATTTCATCAACAGTGGGTTCACGGAAAATCTCTTGTTTTAAAAACTTAGTAATACGATTCTGCAGCAAACCAGGCCTCACACCGTGGGGAAATCCAGGAACAAGATGATATCTTTCAACTGCTCTGTTCATGTGGGCAACGATGGAGATGTGCGAGGGGAACGAGATAACTCTGGCGATGCACTGGTCATCGTCTTCCCTGATCTCCGCGAGCCAGTCTTTCATTCTCCAGAAGGCATCAGAACGGGTGGCGGCACGCAGCAGAGCGGCAGGAGCGGTGACTCGAACTGCTTGGGCCTCGCACTCGAGACCGATCTTTTTCATGTGGTGCAGGGCGAGCGGGGAGAATGCGCACCGTGGGGCGTTGGTCAGCCGCTGCAAGCCCTCGCGGGCCTTGACGTGAACAAGCTTGCTGGGCTCGTAACACTGGGCGACATGGGAGAAGACAGGAAGAGCGAAGGTGTTGTACGCGGAGAGGGAGAGGTTCAGCCCCAGCTTCAGGCCCTTGATGCACGTGCATCTGTCGAACAACTTCTGAGCAGGTGCGTACCAGCTCTTAAAGTGCCCATCTGGGCCCACGATCACACCAGGGTAGAGGCCACTGGCTCCAAACGAAAACGTTTTAACATTCATCCTGGGGGTGTTGTCCCTGAACATCTGGACCAGGGACTCTTTGTCATTGACATGTAACATCATAATATGGCACTTACCAATGTTCAATACAAGGCCCGTCCACTGCCCTGAGGTCACGAGCTCACGGAGGACCAGGGGCAAGACGGCAAGTAGGCTCCTGGCCACGAGCGCTATGTCATCTGCAAAGCGCGGCAGGATGAATTCGTAAGACTGCTGGAATCTCTTGACTTTGACGAGAACGGGGTGGAGGATGATGGCAAAGAGGACCCCGCTCATCGGGCAACCTTGCTTCATTCCCCTGGAGACCCAAAAGCCACAAGCGGAAGCCCCAGGAAACGGAACCATGGTCCAATTCTGGTCGTACAGGGAGTGAATCGCGAAGCGGATGCAAGTCGGGATACCTAGCTTATCAAGCACGGCAGCGATCCAGTCGTGGAACACCGATGGGAACGCCTGCTTAAAGTCGAAAAGCGTGGCGCCGCTGTCCTTCAGCCCGTAGAGATCACCCCAAAACTGATAGTGAGCATCGAATTCGACGAGGTTGCCAATGAGCGATCGGCCCTTCACGAAACCCCTCTGGGAGCTGTCGACGACATCGGCAGCGACGGCATTCAGCGGCGAGGCAACGGCGGCCGAGACGATGTTGTTGTCGGTGCTGCTCAAGGACAGCGGTCTAGTAACACTTGGCGGGCGGGCCTCGGCACCACTTCCTGAGAGGGAACCTTTAGGAAGGAAGATCATCTTACAGTAGTTGAAGGACGGGGCGAGACGATTACCAGTCATCAGGCGGGTGTAGAGGTTGTACAATAAATCGTATCCCAGGGAACCGATAGCTTTCCACCCGGAATATCGGATGCCGTCAGGGCCGGGGGCCGAGTCTTTTTTACGCTGGGCCACGTCAACAAATTCGCCTTTACTCAAAATCCAATTGTGGTACGCGTGGGTGCTGCTGACAAATTGGCCCCCATTACTGTGCACAGGCGAGAGGCGCTCCAGCAACGGCGACGCGTGCGCATCAGGGTGCTGGGAGTTGGAGAATATATTTCCCCAGTACTCGGCAAGCAACTCAGCCATCTTATCAGGCTCAGTGGCGCGCGCGCCTCCAGGCTCCACCACAGCCGCGAGATGGATACGAGGACGGGTCCGTGCCCATGCAGCAGAAAGCCTTCGAATGCGGGCTAGGTGCGAGTCCTTCTGGGCACTGGTGTAGGAGGGGTCGTTACGAACTTCATTTTCTTCCCGAGCGAACTCCTGGACCATACTCTGTCGAAGGCGTTCCAGAAAACCAGGCATATCAGTCCAAGCCATTAACTCAATGTCGTAAAACTCCGAAAGTTCAGAAAATCCAGACAGGGCTCGGGAGGCAAGACGACGGTGTTTCCCCCGATGGGCCCTCAGGAGCTTGAGATACTGTGCAGCTTTGGATGGGTTACAGCTGGCCCCAAATTCTTCAACGTAATGTTTGACCTCCCTGGCGGCTGCGTGCATGAGGCTCTTCACCTCGAGAATAGCCGTCGGCGGGTCAAGGCTGAGCTCGTTGGCCTCCACCAGCGAGTCGAACGAGACGCGAAACTGAGCGTGCTTAAATATCCAGCTTGCAATAATAGGAGGAAGAGGAATGTCATACATATCTTCGTTAGATACAGGAAAACCTTCAGGTCGACGAAAGGGGCGAAGCACTAGATGAACAGGGACGTGATCCGAGGGAACTTTACTATCAGATATGTCTAAGTCTGTCGTGGAGAGTGGGTTAAAGTCGAGGACGATGGGGGTCGGCAGGCTAGTGAGAATTCTGTCGAGTCGAGGGAAGCTTGGTGCATTTCGAACATTAGCACGATGGGTGTAGTGAGGCTGTTCGACTTCAACGTAGGAGGGGAAGATCGAGTCAGAATGCTTTGCAATCCTGGAAAACGCAGCGAGCGTCTCGCCCGTCCCAACAACACACCTGCTTTCACCCGTAACTGAGAAGTTAAAGTCGCCGACGAGGAAGGATGTGGCAAGAGAACCAGGTGAGAGATGCGTGCGCAGCGAGTAGAGTACAGCCTTGGTGCGAGTCTCGCTCCAGTCGGGAACAAGGTGCAAGTTGGCCATATGTAAGCGGCCTCTGGGCCCCCACAGAGAGAAACTACGTGGACTCGGCCTTCCACCACGGGCGCCTCGGAATGGCCAGTGAAAAGATCGAAGAGGGAGGACTTGATGATAGTAACCACGCCTCCAGCACTCTCTGAGTCAACGAAAGACCCGAAAGCATGGACTCCAGGAAGTTCGCTTCTGAGAGTGTCAAGATCCCCAAGACATCCATGGACCTCCTGCAAACAGACGACGGTGTGTTTATTCACGAGCCTCCGAAGGACCTCAAATGTGGGTTTACATCGCTTCCCAGGGGAGTGGGCAGAGTAGAACATAGTCTGGCAATTCCAAGAGCATATACTGAGCACCTGGTCTGGAAGAAAAAAGTCAGACGTCGACAGCGAATCTAGGTCAGCTGCAGGCTCACCCCCACCTGCGGCTGCATGG